CAGTTTCATAATTCTGGGTTTAAAATCTGCAAAAACTGTTGGCTAAAACTTGGCTAAACTGTTGTTGGTTAAGAATAAGCTTAATTTGAAGTATAACATCAGGTAGGACAAAACATCACTCCTATGAAATTTTCCTGAAGCAAACATACATCGAAATAGTATTGTAGTACCTGCTGATACTTGGGGATCGGATGCAACACTAGTCATTACGCACAAGCTCGGTGGTCTAGTGGTTATTACACCAGGCTAGTTATATGGAGGTCGAGGGTTCGAATTTCACACAAATCACTTGTTAATTTTTGTTGCAAGTATTTGGGAATGTTCAGTATTTAGTAAGATAACACATCTGGTAGGGTCAAACATCACTCTTATAATGTGAGGCCAAAAGTAAATTTTTTTTATAACGAAAATTGCAATATTTAAAAACACACTTACCTGTTTTGGGATCAATGAATTTAGCAATCTTATGCAGTGTCCTGTAGTAAAGATGGCGCACCTTAAGTACCAAAAAGAAAACAATAAAAAATTTAACGTACAAACTAAGTAAAGCCCTTGTACAAATAATACTTTTATTGGTCCGTAGTCTGTTTCCACTGTACTTTCCCTTTGGTCACATCAACCAAGCTGTGTGGTAAGTTGAACCTAATGAAAAGTTGTTAATACATGTCCCTAACCAGGGTATGGAAGGGGTTTTGAGGATTCATCTGAACCCTCTTCTTTTTTTTTTTACCTCAACTATACATAACATGGATATGGTTTATCCTTTAAAATGATAATTCGTATCAGCTTAAGGGAGCTTCTCCCAAGTTTTCCAAAGGGCGAAGGTCCCCCTCCTGGACCCGTGGCCTATAAGAAACCCTTTCCATGAACCTTGTTATGGGCCTGTACTATTAGCATTGTTAATATTATTAATGTTAGTATGTCCTTGTCAGTGATCGTTCCTTTAGTGTAACAGCGGCCATAGAATGGAATAAACTCCCTACAGTTATTAAAACAACAAATAATGTTGAATCTTTTAAAAAACTACTGAAAACATATCTTTTTTCAAAATTAACTTGAGCTTATTGCTTCAAATCATTATTCAACTCTGTAAATGCTATGATATAGTTTTCTATGAATAGCGTATATAAATACTACTAATACTATTTTACTCCTCAAACCTCACAATAAAACAGTTTATAAACCCCTGTTGTGGTCGGGGGGAGGGGGAAGGTGGTCGTGGTACCTTGGTAATAACCAAGAGCCATAATTCACGTAATACAGCATATTTATATTTTTAAAAATAAAACAATAAATTATTATTATATAAAATATTTTCTTTTTACACTAATAGTTTTAGTATATATTATTATCTGGGTATATACTGTTTATAGTCTTTTCAGATTAAAATGTAAATTTAATTAAAGTCATATTTTCAAATCATAAATTTTCACTGTCAATTTTTATGTGATATTGTTGTGAAAATTTCCTAGGAATGGGCATGATGTCATAATCACATTCATATGATTATAATGATGTCATAAAATCATACCCATATATGGGCAATAACAGGTAATCATCACATAAGATTTGATAGTATGGATCACGTTCATATGTTATTCGTTGTTCTACCTGATCTTTATTTTTCACTTGGTTGCTGGGATCTATTTTCTTCTTATGTTGGAGTTCGATATGCTTCTGAATGGCATCAAAATCCTTGCCGTGCTGCAGAGGGAAAAGAAAACATAAACATCATTACAAAATCATGGCAATTATTAGTAGAAGCTATAGCGAGTCCCACTGTTGAGAAGAAGCAAATCATTATATGGGGGAACACTGCTTTGAAAAAGCATGAACTTTACAGTCTGATTTGTCTGCTTATTTTTTTAATTTGCTTCAGCCATCAGTGGTGAATTCAATTACGGTGGGGCTGAGGTGGTCTACACGGCTACCACTAAATCTGTGAAAATCCCTCCCTGGGTCTCTCTTTTCTCAATTCCTTGATCTGCCACTGACCATAATTGTAGGACTGAGATAGGTGTGGACTAGTTGGTTGTCTTGGATTTTTTTCAGTTGGTTTTCAAAACTAATTTTTTTTCTTTTTTTGTAGAACTGTTTAGTACAATTTTATAACAAAATAACCTTGCAAATGTTGCTGCAATGTTGTGTTAATGTTATTTTTTGACATAAACTACCCAAAATGTTCAACATTTTTGCGTATGCTGTATACTGTATTAATATTTTGTGTTTAATGGAAATAATGTACCTCATTCAAAAATTTGAAGAAGAGATTCTTATCCTGATTACTCCAGGCCTCCCATCTTTTCCGTTCTGCTTTCGGCTCTGCTTTAGCTTTTTCTTTTCCTACCGAGAGGAAAGGAAAAGAATACAGTTTGTAACATCATAATTATTCTAGTTACTAAATTGTGAAAAAAAAGAGAATGAAAACAACATGTAATTAAATTAGAAAGCAGTTTATTACACAGAATTTACCATAACATGTACGACACAAATTATGCAATGCAAACTTTAGTATATCAAATACGAAATTACTGGCAAGTAAAGTATAAAATCATAATGAAGGAGTACCACCATCACACATAGCAGCAGAATGTTTTTCTTTATATTTTAGATAATGTATCAACATTTATATTTTTACGAATATATAAATCAACATTCTTGTAAATACCTTGTTCTTTTGGTTTCGGTGGTGGAGTGTTATCTCTTTTAGGCCTTTTAACACTGGATCTGAGGAACGGCAAATTACTTCGATGTTCAATGATTTGATGTCCGTTGCAAACTTCAGGTTTGTTACTTTCCGATGAAGCGCCTCCGCCTTGTTTTTGGAAGGGACCATTTTCCACTTTTTCCTCCACTTGATCAGTTTCGCGAGCTCTCTTTGGACCAGCATCAATGTTGGTGATGCTTAAAGACCCTGTCGGCATTCTAAATTCAATAAAATATTACAATTAATAAATAATCTACGAAGCAATTTCGATTAAATTTTCGGTTTAACAAAATTCAATATGGCCGCCGTTGGTGTACGTCGCTGTTTTGTCTTCTTCGATAAGAGCGCTGAGAATAACCTTCTCAATTACTACACTTTAATGATTATAATTCACATATTAATGCTGGAAATAAACTAATCTGAATATACTGAACTTATGTCTAGTTAAAAATGCTGATTCCTGTTTAAAATACACAAAACTGCAACGATGAACAACAACAACTTCAATGATTAACAAGCGAACTTGGCCATCACGGCGGCTATCATTTTCCGATCAACAAAATACAATCGTTACCCTTTCTTTTCGGTGGCAGTTGAGCATTCTCCCTCCAAACTTGCTCTCTTTCTCTTAACCATTTGATTAAGGAACCTTTAATAACTATTTATGGGTGAAATGAGCACATAATATCGCGTAATAATCTACCCGATACATGTTCCCCTTCGGTATCTCTCAAACAACCAGAAATTGCTATGCTCAGCGGAAAGCTTGATTGAACACTGGCCTCGACGTCTTCGGGGGCTGAACGGTCTTTTCACCCGGGCTGGATAATTGACAAATGCCATACACAGCTGAATCACTGAATCTCTTCAAATTAAATTTCAGAGCTTCTCTTCAATACTTTTTAAACCAAAGAATACACTTATAAACCCATGGTTTCAATATTTTTGTTTTGGGAAATTGTATTATTTATTTTAAAAACTGATTTTTGACTTTTTGTTTTCAACCCAACAATTTGATATTTTGTATCTATCTTGAATATCAATGATCATACAAATTGTATTTACAATTAAAGTAAGATCATGTCAAACCTAAATTTCGGACATTCTATACATATCTTTCATTTCAATAAAATTTTTATGCTGAAAATGACTTTTGTTTGTTCATGTTGAATTTTAATGTGATAGGCTAGTTTCGAACAAAAATATTATAATAAACTTTCCAACCAATAATAATAATGATAGATATTAATATATTTATTGGTGGTTTATTTCGTGGTAGCACTGACGTACAATTGATCACAATTATGCAATCATTATTATTTTCTTTCTTTGGATATATCTGAGAGTTCTATAAATTATTATAACTAGGCCTAGGCCACACAAAGGACTGCAAAATAGCACGTCACTATATAGGCTAAACCACCTACGTACTGTACTCCGGTCGTCCCTTCTTCAAACAGGGAATTGATATACTGTAAATATGGTTCGAGCATGATAAATTAATATGGATTGGTAGGGAAAAGGGAAGTTCGGTGATATTCTACCTAAAGTGAGTGGAATTTTAATGCTTTATATTATTCCTGAATAATAATGTATATACCTTCAGTGGCTTCACCAAAGCAAATCCTCACAATTTATATGAAACAACCAACATATCCCGAACTTCAAAACACAGCACAGAGAAATACAAACACGGGGAATCCTCAGCCGATGTAAACAAATCGCTGAAACGAAGAGGTAGATGGCGCGAATAGATCTAGGAAAACCCCTTCTCTTATTGGGCAGTACGATGTCACGTGCGGTATTTCCTCAAAATGTGAGATTATATAATTTTAGTTGCCTCAGAAAATATGGATATGTAGTGTATCACCTTGGACATAAACTGTAGTTATTGAAGTAATCATGTAGTTTATCTTTTTTCTATATTGCCAGCACTGACCAATAGATGACAACAAGTTTTAATGTTTCCATTTGTATTTGTTTACAACAGCCTTCCGCATTGGTCAGCTGGCTCACAAATTTCGGTATCTTATCAAGTAAGTCGTGTTTTAAATTAGTACCCATGATTTACTGGTAATTTCAAGTCTGATGGATAAGTTAATGTGTAAAACTGAAATTTTTATTTTAAAGTAATATTTTTACCACAACGGAAAGGTGGAAGAAATCGGGTAATTAGCAATAGCTTAGATAATTGCTTGTCCAATAAAATACACGGACTCCAACTTTTCATAGCGGGGAATTAGAAATATCAAAAATACCACACCAGTCATTGATCGTGTCGTCATCAAAATCATTAGCATAATGTGAACGATTTCAATTTTTGATCGCTCTCGCTCGCCGGTGTTACAGTTTTTCATTCATTGTCTCTCCTTCGTAGGCACGTAGTTTGTGTTCTTTGGTAAAATTAATTGTGAAATCTCAAGTTTTTTTCAATAAAACATTCCAGTATGACTAGCACAGATATCTACCAAGGAATGGACGTTGGTTCCAAGACATCATCTAGGTAAGGAGAAAGAGCCTCATTCATGATTCACTGACTGCTGAGTGAAATAAAGTAGCCAGCTGGTTCGGTCACATCATCCGCCCTAACCCAAGCATCAGTCAGTCAGTAGTAGTAGTAGTAGTAGTAGCAGTAGTACCGTGCTAGCCCTACAGTAGGCCTGGCTAGGCTGCTAGTGAAGTAAAGTACGGCCAGCCAGGCCAGGCTTAGAGATTAAGTCCAACGCTTTTAGGCGTTATCTAGCCTAGGGTAAGAAGCCCTAGGCCTCTATGCCTAGATAGACACTAGATAAGATGAATTCTCCAGAGAGGGAGAGAGGTCCCATTCCACCAGGCTCGAGGAAATCATCATTGACATTGAACTTCATTCATGCGATGGTTGTTAAAGAAAAACTTATGATTCAGTATGTAAAGAAGAATACTACTATTAAGCACTTACCTAGTCCTAGGTTTTAAAATAGAAGTTATGATTTTATTATTAACAGACAGACAGCAAGGTTCAGTACACCTGCCACCGTAGAATTGCTTGACCCCCTGTTTGGCAAATTTCTGGAGCCTTGCTTCTTAAACTAATTCAAACCATTGATTTGCAGAGGGGGTACATTAGCTAAGACAAAACTGATTTGCTAAATGGTATTTTCTATAGCAGAATTATTGACATTAATAATGCAAACAATTAAATATCATTGATTGATGTGTGTAAAATCTATGAATGCAGTATACATACTGTAGCTAGTTATCCGGTGATGGCCACCCCAGCTTGGAAGTTTTCCACCCAGTCTAAAAAGCTGATTTCATGGCCCTCCACCCACCTTCATTAACCCCCTTGCCCATCCTTAAAATCTGCTCTTACATTATTTAGAGTTTATCCATGTTATCAAACACCCACCCTTACAGCAATAACACTGCACAGGTTAGATTTGTTGTGGTTAATAATAAGCATTGTTGTTTATTTTTGATTGACGTGTGTTTAAAAAATTCTTTCTGCAATTTTAGTATTTTTCAAGGTTTGTATTGCAATATTTGATAGTGCCAAACTTAATACGGCCTCAAGATAACTGTTAGAATAAATACCTTGAAACAAATCCACCATAAAATGATAGAATACTCAGCCTTGGTGGTACTGTATAGCGCCAACTGGTACTTGATAATGAAAGAAGAGAACGGTAGCGTGATGATGAACACAATCAAAGCATGAAATATAAACCAAGATTCACAATGAGGCAGATGGACATAAACCATTATAATTAGGCATTAATAATAATTGTTGGTAGCCATGACCTTTAACCTTTTCACCCCAATATTTATTAGGGAGCTTTTGGTTACATGACGATGGTGGGATTAGGAGGATGATGTCAGTCTTTTGCGCATGTAATGTGAGAACATTGAGTTCTCGACACACAGGTTCTAGACGTATAATTTTGGTCTGAATATATGTGGTGACAGTCACAGATGAGTGAATTCGTTCTAGAGTTTAATAAATTGTAACGCAAATCGAAAACTCACAATAGGGATCATTTATAAGATGATCTTAAATCCAGAACCAAGCAATACAGAAAAAAAAAAGGAACCTCTTTCTTCGATCTTGGACCAGTTTGTACCACATCCCTAAATTGTTTGATGTAGTAATCTTTGCGGCGAAGGTACAATTCATCTCAAACATTCTCAAAACTAACAGAGGAGATAGACCTATGCAAACCGTAATCATATTCCACAATTTTAGATATAGTGCAAGTTATCTGTATCTTGAAGAATAATAATGACTGCGAAATAATGAGGGAAGGAAAGCTCAGTTGGCTAAATGTGTGGTAGCCACTGTGCCGTGGAGATTCTTTGGTCCCTGGTTCAATTCCATCTGCTGCTCTCCTTCGTGTTTCAGTCTGAGGGTTGAGAAAATACAAGTTATGATAACAGCACACTATCTTTCGGATGGGACATTAAGCTGTTGATCCTCTGTACAATCATTGGTATATCCAGCGTGGCACGCCCCTCCAAAAATTATTTGCGCCCTGCCAGTCGCCACCCCCCCCCCCCAAAAAAAAGCATGGTAAAGTAGTTAAAAATCACTTTATTTTGAGAGTTAGTGCCCTCTCAACTCCCCATCAGCACCCCCAATTCAAGATTCTTAGATACACCACTATGTGCAATATGGCCTATGCGAGGCCCATCTGTAAAGAATGCAATACACTCTACGAAAAAGGGGATTCGGACTTAACGAGTTCAGACACAAAGAATGCTCCTAAAGTACAGTAATACAGTAGTGTGGCTATGAAAGCTTTGGATACGGTAATAAGACCAAAAGGCAGCTTAGCTTAGTTGGCTAATCTGGTGGTCACTGGTAGCCACTGTGTGTGCACTGAACCGTGGAGATCTCTAGGTCCGTGGTTCAATTCCCATCGCTGCCTCTCCTTGTGTATTTCAGCTGGAGGACTGAGATGCAAGTTGTAATAGCACACCTTGTTTCAGATGAGACGTTTGAGTCATTGGTCCTGTGTGCATTGATGGCCCATGTGCACGTTAAAGAAGGCAGTACGCTTTTCGGGAAAGAGTAGGGGATTGTCTCCCAATGTACATGTACTGCCCAATCACCACCCCACTGGAAATAAGGTGGTCTTCTAAATTTTCGTGGGCTATCCTTGGTGTTTACACCGAATCCATCCAATCCAAGGCATATGCATTTTCAAGGGGATTAGAAACACTGTGCAAGTCACGTGTGTCCTTAGGCAAGACACTTTAGTATTTATCTACATTTGTCTCTCTCTCTCCACCACCCAGGTGTATAAATGGGTACTGGCATATGCTGGGAAGGTAAAACAGACTGCAGTGCTTGAGGAGTGGTGAACCCCCCCCCCCCAATAGCCTTGCACAGTCTGGCCCAAATGCCAAGGAAAGAGAGACGGGCACTCTGGAATATCAGGCCAGAGCTTCAGGTTTCGACCTTTACTTTACTAGAAACTGATTTGAATGTTAGTGTTTTTTTTTTTTATAAAATGGGACTTATTCATAAACTGTCGTCAGCATATTTTTTATGCTGTGTTAACCTTTTTCTGCTCCAATAAATTTATTCAACCTTCTATTCCTTTTGAATTATTTTTTTAGAACACGTCTCAAAGGCCAAGTAAAAAAAAGTAGTTTCTTGTCCTAATATTTTGAATGAAAAGGAGAATGAGGGCGCTTTTTTATTTTACTCTGAGATGGCAAATCCAAGATGACCGATAAGAAACATCTACTGTACTAGGCTTTCTCATTACCAAGTAGACACATTGAAAGCAAATAAAAGAAGCACTGGACATGATTCATACAATATTGAGTTTTAATTCATAATTAGTTCAACTGAAATTCACCCTAGGATATGCTCTCCCCAACTACAAACGATCAAGAGAGAGAGAGAGAGAAGAACTTTACTGATGTGAGTGTAGCCACATTTTGCGAAAAAAAGAAATAAAAAAGATTGGTGAGGAAAAGAGAATGATGTGCAAGGTAACGAGAAACTAGTATTTTTTTTAACTTGGCCTAATGTATTCTCCCCCACCCTGTGTTTGCCAGAAATGTAAAACCCCATCCTTGATCGAGATGCTTGCTGATTGGAGAAGCTATTCATGAAAGCATGTCGTAAGGGAGCATCGCCTTAATGATGGGAAGGATAGCATTTATGTTATTTCTCATGAGTCATTACATTCACATTAAGCTAGGGATAAAGTCTTCACTCACAAGGATCCATTGTATTAATACTAAGAGATTGATTCCGTCAATCTTGTCTTTCTGGAAATACTTCTGCAATATGTTGCACTAAACTTCAATGTTTTTTTTTGTCGTCAACTCGTGAAACCCATTTTTAATGGCAGGTATTGTCTTCCTGTTAAAAAAATGAATTACAATTTTTAAACTACATTTACTGTACTTAAATGTTCTCTTCATTCCTCACTTGGTACTTTTGATATATTTTTTATTTGGAGTATAAATCTCTGATATTATTTTTAATTCAGTATTTGATTTTAATAATTTCCTTCTCATTTTGCGTTAAAGTCGGGCACCATATGAGAGTTGTTTTTGACAAGAAAACAAATATGGTGTTTGACCAAAAACTTGGAAACGGTTAATTGGGTACAGATTTTGGAATATTTAAAAACTTTAGAAAAAGGGGTGGTTACAGTACACTCCCTTTTCCCTTGTTTTTAAATATTAAAAAATTTGCATCTCATTGAACTGTTTCTGATTATTTTGTAAAATACATTTTTTTGATTCTTAGAATAATCAGTTGTACTGTACAACATACCAATTTTTTTCCCTTCTGAAGCTAATGTTCAACTGTAGGCCTAATGACTTCGGTATTAGCCCATTCCCAAACCGAAACAACTTTGATTGCAAATTTTTACTATCTGTGCCTTGGGTAACAATTATTAAGTATTCGAAATAAGTATTTTTTATAAATTTAAAAAGTAAATATTATCTTTAAAACTCACCCAAAACACCTGTAATGACTAAAGATGTACTTCATTATTTATTCAATTTTAAATGAAAGTTTAGAGTACACAAAGTAGTACATTCACAAACATAGGATTTTATTTTTAGCTCACACAGACCATAGAAGTATACACAGACAGTGTGCTGTTGGGCTTAGCATTTGAGTCTTTGTTTTCAATCAAGCTATTGCAAATGAAACACAGACTTACACATGCATAAAAGCGTGTCAATTAATTATGCCTGATGTTGAGGTGTGAGAAATCAATGTGTTGTACACATGTCTACTGTAGTAGTAAACAAGTGGCTGCAAAGCTGTGGCCTGCTAGCTGAGAGTTGGTAACCGCGACCTGTATCTGACCTTTTCCTCAGCTGAAAGAAATAACCAGTGGGCCGCCGGAATTACACAGACAATTTGGAGGATGTGGCATTTGGGTGAAATTAGGTTCTTTTTTATTTTTTTATATTTTTTTTTGTATCTTTAGTACTTTAAGTTGGCTGGTATTCAGGGCCCTCTTTAAATAAATGAAATAATGTGATGCT